CCTCTTACCCACGGAAAGCATCCCTACTTCCTTGACCCCTCATAAAGGGTTGTTGTCATGAGTTGATGTTGGGGGACCCTGATTCGTGGGGACGGAACACTGCCTGGTCCTGCACAGTGCCTGTGAGCAGTTGGGGACTAGACCAAGGTGGTTCACAGGCTTATCAGAAAGAGATAGCCAGGCCTTTCTTCCTAGACCATCCTTGACTGGAAGCTCTGTGGAAACTTGTCCAGCAACACAGCGACACGTGAGCCTTGGTGGACAGGCCTCTGGTGGCTGTGTACCATCTGGGATTTGAACCTGGGTCTCCAGCATGGAAGGTGATACTTCTACCACTGAGCCAGCAGAGATATCCCACCCAGGCAAAATCTCTTCCTCTCTCTCAGAAAGCAGCTCGCTCCGCTCCTCAATCCTGGCTGCTCGGGGACTCTGGGTGACACATCTCAGTGTGGGATAAGAGGGGCCCTGGGCTACCCCCTTGAGTGTTAGATGACAATCGTGTCCAGAGCCACAGGCAGCAGGAGAGGAGGGAGTCAGCTGCCTTCTGTGCACACGTCCACATGTACACACACAGTTATGTACACGCGTGCACACATGAACATGATGTACTATGAACCCACCCCTTATAGCACATGTCTATCGCACACATCCCTGCTCATCTCCCTGCTCCTACCCCTGCCCTGAGCAAGGCGTTCCTGGTCTGTGCACCCCTGGCCTCCACAGGCCACCTCTCTGGGCCCACCTGGGACAGAGGTACACACAGACAGCCGAGTGGCCCTGCCTCGGGCTCCCACAGGACATTGTACCTGATCAGGGGCTGCTGCAGCGCCACCAGGGCAGCATGGACAGTCACCGAGATCACTGACAGGTGGAAGTAGTCAAACATGAGGGGCACCTGGTGGTGCAGCCCGGCCCGGGGGTGGAAGTGGAGCCCCAGCGTGCGGCTGCTGATCAGAGGCACCCCGGCCACCTCCCGCAGCCTAGAAGGCAAAAGGGGAGCTCCTGTTAGCAGAGGCGGAGTTTCCTGCAGCACCCCAGCTACCCAGCTCCTGCCCCCACCCCAATCCCCTGGGTGTTCGGACTCACACCAGCCCTGCGCGATGGAGCAGAACTCCTCCAGGGGGGTCCTGGGCTGTACTCTTCACAGGCTGAAATATTTTCTCTCACAGAGTGGCTGGTGGGTTTGAACCACCAACCTAGTACCCCCAATACCACCCAACTCCTTTGTCTCCACCAGGGGACCCCTGCCACAGCCTTGCTCTGTGCTTTGCCTGGATAAGCCCCATGGGGCCCTGCCTGCATGGGAGAACCTGGAGTCAGCAGCTGAAGAAACCGAGGCTCAGAGCTGGAAAAGAATGTCCTGGAATCACACCGCTGCTAAGCAACCACGTGGGATGAGTGAGTCCCACAAGTCAGGTCAGCGATGACCAAGACGCGTTCCGTGGCTCCTCTCCACACACCTCAGCCCTCTTGCTCACTCATCTCCCCTGGCCCCTCATCAGCTGCCCAGCGAGGCCCCCAGACACCAGGTGGTGGTCTTCCCTCTGCTCGGCACTGTGAGCAGCTGCGTCCTCGCACACTGAGACCAGGACAGGACGACAGGCTGACTGCAAGTCTCCGGCTACAGACTGAATCATATTACCCCTAAGAGCATGAGCCAGGCAGCGGAGCCTTGGTGGCATGGCAGGTTACACATTGGGCTACTAACCATGCTGCCAGCAGTTCGAAACCACCCACTGCGCCATGGGAGAAAGCTGAGGCTTTCTACTCCGGGAGAGGTAGGCGACCTCATCCACAGGTACCCTTCAGCTCCAGCCAGACAGGGTGGCTGAGATGGCAGGGCATCTACCTTTTTGAAGTATGAGCCCTAGAGGGTGCTTTCCCCGTTCTTCTGTAGGGCACCCTAGGAGGCATGAACTCCTGCTGTTCCGTTTCCCACGGCAGGAGCAGAGCTGACCTGGGTTCAGTGTGCACAGTCACAGGCCAAAGGAAAGCTCCAGCCCGAGGTCTGTCCGATGCGCTGTCTGTTCGGCACCAGCCTGGCAGAGCTGGGAGGTTGTGCGGGTTCCGATCCAGGTCACCGCTTTTAGCAAATATGGCCATAAAGCGTGTCACATGGCTGCGTTTGCTTTCCCAGCATAGAGAGTGATAGTGCAGTGAGAGCGCTGTGACACTAGAGAGTGTGAGTCGTGCGATGGCAGGGTGGGAGAGTGTGACAGGTGGTGGGCATGACCCAAAGGGGAAGTGAGCACAGGCTAATGGAATCAATGGTACCCAAAGACTTGCTCCATGGCCAGGTTGCCCCGATCTCCATCGTGTAAAAAATCCAGGATCCCAAAGCATGATTTAGAAAAATCTGTCCCTATCGAGTTGAATCTGTGCAGACGCAAGCAGAATGCCTGGGTTCTTATAAGGGAAGTAAAAATGACCCAGGTCACACCAATAAACAAGAGAACATAAGCACATCGAGAGGGAGCCTTGGCGTTCCCATGGAGATGAAGTGCTGACTTGCAGAGCAGACCTTCAGAGTCAGGAATGCCCCAGGGGGGCCCAAGGAGTAGAATCGCGATGGACTGAGGGTCAACAGAAAGGCAGCCTTCTCCTTGAGCTGAAGAATGTTCTAATCGTGCTCTTTAGGGCAGATAGGTTCTGTTGAGAAGCAGTGAGCTCCAGTGGCCCCCCACCCCAAGCCCACAACCTGAGTAGCTGATGCACAGGTGAGGTCTACCTCCCCTGGGATGCTCCAGCCCAGGGATGCCGGTGTGTGGACCGGACCTCGCTGCGCTGGGCTCTCCTGTGCACTGTGCAGTGTAGAGCAACATCCCTGGACTCTACTCACAGGGTGCCAGCGGCAGCCCACTCTCAGGGTGACAGAGGTGTCTCCAGGCATGGACAAATATCCCCTGGGGACAAAAATCACCCACCCGTGGAGACCTGCTGGACCAGCTCAACTTCTCGAGCCCTGTGTCCCTGAGCTCATGCGACATGTGTCTCCTTTCCATCCCTGCTCAGCTCTGCATGGAGATACAGGCGCCGCCTGCCTCAGACATGTGTCAAACCTAGCGTGTACCCTCAGGATGCTCTCTAGGCTCACCCTCCTCCTCCAATCCAATTTAGGAAAATGAAAACAACAAAAAGCCAATCCCAATTTCTCCCCCACCTCTGGCTTCCTCTTCCTCTTAGCTAATCTCATTCTCCATGAAATGCCCTTCTCTGTTTGTTATTAAGCGCTTTTGCATCACGGAAAGGAAGCTACTCGTCAGAGCCTAGCATCCTTGCCACTCAGACCAAGCCCAGGAAAAGGAAGGGACTCAGGAGGTTGTGAGTTTGGCTCCTCGTCTGTACGAGCTCTCGGTCTTTACCATCCATTTGCTAATATTGAGTCAGTTCCCGTTCTTTGCAATCATATTGGAGGACAAGGCAGAACTGCCCACTGGGGCTCCTGAGGCTGTCCATCTTCACCGGAGCAGAGACCCTTGACAGTTCTCCTGCATTGTGGCTGCTGGGTTTGAACTGCTGAACTTGCATATAGCAGCCGAACTCATATGCCACCGTGCCACCAGGAATCCATCCAACAGCCCCCTGAGGTGTGTATTCTGCAATGATGTCCATTTCCTAAAGGCGTCCAGTGAGACAGGCTTGACACCTCTTGATGGAGAGATGAACACAGAGCCGTAAAGACTGCACTTAGCACAATTTGATGGGACCGATCCCCTGTATGCATACAGGATCTCCACTAGCCACTGTTTGGATGGTGAGAGAGCCTCACTCTCTGTGTCCCTGGAGGTCCATCGCCGGGCCTTTCTTCCTAGTCTATCTCAGAATGGAATATCCACACACAAGCCTCCCAGGACAGATAAGTGAGGGCTTCACACGACGTGAATTGGCCTGAAATAGAACCCGGGTCTCCTGCATGGAAGGCGACAACTCTACCACTGAACCATCCGTGAAAGGGACCTCTTCCCACAGCCCACAGATGGGTTCTTTGGAGGAGAGGCTGCCCACGAGAGCTTCCTGCAAACGCTGAGTGACCCAACCAGGAAAGGTGTCTCTTTAATCAGAATGATAGGAGGCTCTTTCATCCTCTCTGTGCCTGAGCCGGGAGGGGCACCGACCACAGGAGGGGAGGAGATGAAGAAGACTTGAAGTCCCCACTGTGCCCCGGTTCTGCAGGAGGGACTCTCCACCCCAGGGAAAGATGGGCTGGGGTAAAGAAAGGGGGCAGCAAGGAGAAGTGGTACTGTGCAAGAGAGTTTTGAGCTTGGATATGACACTTAAAGGACTCTTTATTACCTGAAAAACTGTTTTCTGACATGGCAATTCAGGTGGGAGGAGCCACAGCATACACTTAAAGGAAGCATTCATGTGAAAGAATGGTACCACCTTCTAATTTAATCGGCAGGTTTCCCATACATGGATTTTCCATTTTTAGGCAGTGGAAACAACAACAGCAGCTATTTAGTCCCAAGCTGTGGGATCTTGGAAGAATTTCTTTTGATTTTGAAGAGGATTTGGGATGTGCAGCCTCATAAGGTCATTAATCCCAAATCCTGATGAACATTGCTTTGAGAGTAACTGGGGATGTCCAGTAGGAGAAGGTATAAATCCATCAAACCAGGGAGACAGAAATCATCTCTGGGAGCAACATTTGGCTACCTGCCTCAAATACACACCATTGGAGATGAGGCCATGCTCCTGGAGTAGCTATGGCAGGGGCACCATGATTGTTCAGAAATAGGGGGTCTGAGGTTCAGGGCCATGAGGGTGCATCAGGAGTGGGAAAGCGGTGTTGGCAGGTGCGCATCACATTATCCTAGCTCAAAGAGTGTAGGGATACTCACTGTTGCTCACTGTCCGTGAAGTGCAGGTCCACCTTGAGTTGAAAGTCCACTTCACTCAGTGCATCTTCCACCTACAAGAGAAACAAAGTCCAAGGGGTTTCAGACACCAGATCTTTCCAAATATAGGATGGAACTGTTCTATTTCCCAGAGTGCAGGAAAAGAATCTCACCATCAAGTTAATATGCTATCTGTGTCTAAAGCAGAAGTTCTATGCATGTACTATGGGGACCCTGTGG